ACACACACACACACACACACACACACACACACACACTGAGTCCTCCAAGCTCTCTAATCTTTGTGGATATGGTCTAAATGTCTAGCAAATGCTTGAAACTACGGAAAGCACCAAACCACATCCTATATATTTTTTTTGTCTATATGCCTTCCAGCACTGCCGCACAATATCAGAGTCAGTGTGTTCCACCATGTTTTACACCTTGTCCCCTCCCCCCACATCAGTATTGTGCTTTGGGTCCATTATTAAGTACATAAGGGTCCCTTGATCACAAGCATTGTGATACTGTGACAGTTGATCTGGTAACAGAGACGGCTACTGAGTGACTCATGGGCTGGCAGCTTATACAGGGTGGATACACTGGGCAAGGTGATGATTTGTAGACCAGGTGCGATAGAGCAACTGGGAGAGATTTCATCACACTACTGGGATGTGCAATTCATACCTTATTAATTGTTTATTTCTGGAACTATCGGGGCTGGGAGGTTTAGCTTAGTGGTGCAGCACCTGCCTGGTAAGCGTGAGGTCCTGAGTTTGATTCCTGGTAACCACCTCCCCAAAAGACCTTGCTTTTTTTTTTTTTCTGGAACTTTCCATTAGATATTTTCAGACACATTGACAGTGGGTAAGTGTGGGAAGCAAAACTTCAGATAAGGCGGACTGATGTAAAGGGAAAAGAGGAAAAGAAGCAAAAGGTAATGGACATTAATGACCCTTACACAAACCAGACAATGAGAGGTATCCCAATCCTCATTAAAATTCTCCTTGTACAGATGAGAAAACTGAGGCCCACAGCAATAAGAACTTGTTCTCAGGCTTCATACTGGTGAGTGGCAGGGCTGGGATTGGAACCCAGGCCTCAGGCAAGCATCCCTACTAAAAGCACTGTGGCGGGTAACACACAGTTTATATGGAGGACAGACAGGCTTATATAGAAATATGTGGCGTACACAGGGCACACAGCACAGACCGTGATTGCAGGGTGTCGCGGGTACAGTATCAAAACAGCCTTGGGATCACACGAGCTGGGCCTTCAAGAGGTGGGAGGGCCATGGCAAGGGAGAGGACAGGGTGGTGGGCTGGGGCAGAACAGGGATGAGCAGCACATGAATCACCCAGGGCACCTGTGGGAGGACAGCTGGGAACGGGCCAGCTGGACTGGACTCCGAGAGTGCTGGGTGCTGCTCAGGGGCTGAAACTAATGCTAGAGGAAGTGAATAGGAGCCGTGAGGGTGCGGAGTCCTGCAGCCCAATATACTAGCAGGAGAAAGGACAATTCTCTGTTTAAGTCAAGGGTGTGGCCGCTCATAGTCCTGCCCACACAGGCCGTGTGCCACCCTGAGGACCTGTGAGTCTCCACAGTCATTCATTTTACCAAAGGTTCCGGTGACACACAAATCACTCAGTAACGGGGCACAACAGGGCCAGGCACCAGGCCTCCCAGGGAGACTTTCAAACTACATGACATACCACCTCCATAAAAACTAAAACAAAAACTCACACGAATACTTCTCAAGCCAGTGGTTGGGGGAGAGGTCATCCCCACTGCTCACAGCCCCAGGAGCTCTGCTCAGTCCTACTGAGTGTGTCCTTGTGAGTGTAGACAGAGATGAGGGCTGGGGGCAGCAGGAGACTTTACCCCACCAAGGCCCATTCTAAGGGGCTCTGCATCTGAGTTGGATCCTTGTTCATCAAGGTGGGTCGAGAAATGGTGGCCTGAGCCAAGTCCACGTTCAGTGAGCTTCAGAGAATGGAAGGCATTGGGGTGTGCAGGGAGGAGGGAGCGGGGGAACTTGGAATGACAGTTCGGAGTCAAGATTTGGGCTACTGGACTTCCCACTGAGAGGTGACCCTGGACCAGGCGAAGGGACAACTCCTACCTGGCTGGAGGTTCTGGCATTTTCCAGAGCCTCCCCAGATGGTCAGTATGTTCTACCAGGTGGATCTGGGTCTTTATCCTTCCTTGTTACTATTTATTATTAAATGCAATGAGAACACTGGCAGAGTGTGTGCCTCAGACCCTGTTCTCCCGCTAAAAGCCATGTGACTGTACTCATCCTGCTTCTACCGCCTGTCTACAGGAAGATGCGATTTTACTCTACTGCAATGACAACACATGTGGAGCTTCACTTCACTTCAAATTATAAACATTGCTCTAGATGCCTGTGCAAACTTCATAACTATGATTTTAATGGATGCATATTCATTCTGTCAAAGCCAGGAGGCTGAGACAGGAGGATAGATTAAGCCCAGGAGTTTGAG